CTATGGTCCGAACACATGGCCCCATGTGCCTGAGTGATGTGGGCTTGATAAAGTTCAGGTGCATGTAGTTGAGTAGGATGGAAACCCACGAGAATGTTGTAAACATCTTGACCAGGCCCTTACTTTGCCTCGTGGAATCTGGCTATAAAATAAAGACACGGCTTGTAGTCCGTGGCACTGTCTCCCCATCAGAGAGGGCAGTGTCCCACCCAGCCTCAGCTTTTATTCTCTTGTCTGTTTTTTCTAATTCTTCACCGCCCCCCCTCAGGCTCTCCCTTGGCCGTGCTGGCGCGGCACACCTAAGGAACGCTGGAAAACACGTCTTCTGCTAGATTTTTCCATTGCTCAGAAAAAGTAATAAATTGACCAAAAGTGGATTATGTAACTCTCAGTACCACATAGCTTGAGGCTGTTGATGTCCCTATTCCTCTGTAAGTGCTCCACACTTGGCATAAAGCAGCGAATATGTCTAAAATGTGAGTGTACCAGTGTGAGAGGGGATTTATGAAGAAATAACTCACGAGCTTTCTCTGGGCTGCTGAGACCAACCAGCCGCGCCTGAAGGTTCATCTCTGTCCAGGCAGAAGGGGTCGCATCTAAGCTCAGCTTCCCTGAGGACCAGAGATTTCCTCCCCGAGGGCAACATGCCTCAGACTCCAGGGTCTGCGGGGGCAGGGCCGTGGGTGCTCCCACGTGGCTCCCCTGTCAGCTCAGCACCCCCCTGCAAGGCGTTCTCTCGGGCTTGCCCCAAAAGAAGCCAGAACAATAGCGGGCTGGTCTCTCCACCTGAACTCGGACTTACCCTGTGTCTAGCAGCCTGCCTTCCTTTCTCCTGCTGATCCTGGCTTTAGAGATTTCCCTAATAAAGTCTTTCCCAAAACCCATGCCTTGTGATACTGTGCAATTCGCCGGGCCCTTGGACGGCAGGTGGCAATGCTGAAGACATCCACCTAACACACCTGTAGGCCAGAGCAGGGGTGGTGTTTAACTGCGGCTTTCCTCGTTTAATTTCAGCTTTCTCTTCTTTTTGTCACACTTTGCTAGCTGCCACAAACCTTTCCGCTGTGGCCTCTTTCCTAAAGCAGACCACGTAAGAGATAAAATGCAGGAGATACACTCACAGGAAGGTGCCGAGTCAGTATTTTTTTTGGAACCCTGTCCTGACCCTGCTCGGGACCACCTAGCTGGGGTCTCTGTGGAGCCTTCAGGGTTGTTAACGGACATCAGACCAGTTAGTGTCCTGTGAGTAGGAGCGTTCCGGAGGCTGAGTCTCTCGGGGGGACAGGGGTCAGGAGAAAGAGCTCGCAATCCTGTCAGAATTGTTCTCTGCGTTTCAAGGAGGAACGTGACCAACAATGTGGGAAGTCCTGAGGGACCGTGTGGTAGCGCTTGTGATCCGCAGGTACCAATTCACCCTGCAGAAACCCGAGCAGAAATGTTACTTGCACACATATTCTCACTCAGGGCTTGGGTGTGTGTGTGTGTGTGTGTGTGTTTATAACCCACCAGTTCCCTGGGTGGTAGAGAATAATTCCAATTAGGGAGGGCAGCATACTGATTGAAAGTCTGGGCGTAAGGCCCTGGGTTCAAGGTCTTCGCTATGCCATTCATTTTTGGGGGGCACCTTTTGACCATCTTAACCCATATCACCCCTCCCCCCAACTCTGGCAACTACCAATCTGTTCTCTGTATCTATGGATTAGGTTTTTTTTGTTTTTGTTTTAGATTCCATGTACTAGTGAGATATTAATATGGAATCTCAATGCCCCTAAGGTCCATTCATGTTGTTGCAAATAGCAGGATTTCTTTCTTTTTACAGATGAATAAAGATAATGTGTTATATATATATTATCTTTATTCATCCAATGATGGGCACTTAGGTTGCTTCCATGTCTTGGCTATTGTAAATAATATTGCAATAATGAACATGGGGGTGCAGATATCTTTTCGAGTTAGGGTTTTCACTTTCCTTTGAATAAATGCCCACAAGTGGAATTGTTGGATCATATAGCAGCTCTGTTTTTTATTGTTTGAGGACCCTCCATACTGTTTTCCATAGTGCCGGCACCAACTTACATTCCCACCAAGAGTGAACAAGGGTTCCCTTTTCTCCACACCCTCACCTGCACTTGTTATCTCTTGTCTTCTTGGTAATAGCCATCCTAACAGGTGGAAGGTGATATCTCATTGTGGTTAGTGATTTTCTTTCTCTTGACAGCTTTAGTAAGGTGTTTAAATTCTCTAATCCTGTTTGCCTAGATTAGAATTACAAGCAAGCAAACAATCTCACTCTGTATATCGTTGAGGAGAGGAAATGAAGGACTAGCACAACCCTGGCACATACATCAAAACTCACTGAATGTCAGCTCTGGAAATGCAACCCATAGCAGAATTTCTTTCATCTCCTAGGACTTGATGTTAAGTTGCTCTGCTTTTCAGCTATTCATTTCTAGATTAGAACAGTTACTTCTGCTAAGCTCTCTGGAGAGTTACAGGTATTGCTTTGATGAGCACATGGCTCAAAGTTTCCTGGAAGTGGCTATGGCATGATACTTTCCCCTTTGTTCCTTTTTTCTTCTTTCTACCTCCCATCCCCTGTCTTCACACTCCACCAACTCTGGTCCTCTCCTCATTCCCACTTAGTTTGGATATGGCCCCATAGGTTTACAGAGATAATCTGCAGCCATGAAATTTGATTGCCAGGTTTTATTTCCCCATTGCCGACTTGCTATAAGCCCAGGCAATTCAGGTGACCTCCCAGCTCAGACCAAGCCCATCGTCTGATGGGTCTTTAAGATTTTGGGTAGTATTCTGGATATCACCGTGTCTAAGTCCCCATGATGTACTTCTGCTGCAGAGGTTAGAAAAAGTGAAGAAGTTGAGTTGCATTTGTGTAACTGAGTTGTGGATAGATAATGCCTACTAATGTCTATCTCTTGGTCTCTCTTAATTACCTACCATCTCAGCTTCCGCAAACTGTCCTAGTTTACCCTAGTGTCCTTAAGGAATTTTAAGAGCATCCTCTTCCTCTCTCAGAAATGTCCTGGTTTGGAGGATACATTGTAAGGTCATCCTGTTATTTGGGATTGCCATAGAGAGGGGTGGGTAAAGTAAGTTTACGGTTGTGAATACACAAAACACAGAGTTTATTCTTGTATTATTAATTATAAATTATTGTATTATTTGTATTACAACTGTCAATCTACTTTTGCCCACCCTGTATTTAAGCTTCTTTTCAAATAAAAAAGATGGTGGGTTACCAGGCAAAAGATATTATTTTTCCAGCACAATTACAAGAATTGTGAGAAGAGAAGTCAGATTGAAGTTGTAATTTTCCAAAATGGTGCTTCAGTGAAGGTTTTTTTCTGTAGTGTGAGCTGGAATATGGTTTTTTATTTTTAAATATATTTTGATTTCAGAGCAAGGAAGGGAGAGATAGAAACATCAATGATGAGAGAGAATCATTGATTGGCTGCCTCCTGCACGCCCCCTACTGGGGACTGAGCCCGAAACCTGGGCATGTGCCCTTGACTGGAATCAAACCCAGGACCCTTCAGTCCGCAGGCTGACGCTCTATCCACTGGGCCAAACCAGCGAGGGCTGTAATGTGTTTTAAACCTGCTTTTTGTTTTCTCATATCACGTCCTCTTACGGGGTAGAATGCATTTTCACCAAGAGGTGTGAATAAGAACCTAATAATACCCTGGGCGAGGCGGGACTGGCAGAGTCTTCTCACCCTAAACGTGTGCAGCCATGCTCAGATACAACAGGGAGAAATCATCCGAGGAGCCGGAAGGGAAAACTCCCAACCTTGTTCCCATCAACTATCTCGACCTGAACAGAAGAGACGTGAGCTGCTGTAAATGCCACACACCATCAAGGCCTGCCAGTGACACAGGACCTAATGCTCTCACCTACAGCAGCGGCAGCGGCAGCAGAAATCCAGGGCTCCCAAGACAGGCCGCTTACTGCAGGACCTAATGCTCTCACCTATAGCAGCGGCAGCTGCAGCTGCAGCAGAAATCCAGGGCTCCCAAGACAGGCCGCTTACCTGGTTCACAAGTCCTCACCCCCTGTAGAGGGAATACGCAGTCTTGTCATCACTCATGGTGCACATCACGCCTTAACCAACGCCATCCCTTCCCCACTCTAAGCAAGGGCACAGGGCTGTAATGGACTCGATGCAAACTGTTGCCACCTGGTACACAGCTGAGAGGGAAGGGAGGGAAAAATGCTAGAGGAACTAGAATGGCCAAGGAAACAACAAGCAGTTTAACATTTCCTTTATCAGCGGACAAACGAGGCTCGATAGGAAGCAACAAAGAAAAAGGTGGACCTTATTCTTTCATTAAAGCACTACCAGGCCTCAAGATCGGTTACATAAAAGAAGTTTCTCAGACATGACATTCTAATTCATTCCTGGTTACTTGGAATGATGGCATGATTTATATTCAGCCTAGGCTGTCTGTCTTTGAAATTCTACCCACTCACATATTTGCATATTCAAAAGCTGTGTGAGCACAAAGATATTAAAATGGAATCCACGACACATTACAGTAGAACGACATGTCATTTATTCATATAACCGACAGGCAGTACTCAAAATTCATTTAAATAAGCAAGTGATTACACAAATGTCTAATAATACTAAAACTGGTAGAAGGTATAAAATACCATGGGTATGAAATGCCATGGTCAATACTATTCAACAGACTACAATCATAATTCCAAACAAAATCATGGCTTTTTAAATGATTTTCAGCAGTTTTGGAATGATTTGATCACTTCCCTCTTCCAAGCAATTTACTTCTATTCATATAAGACAAGGTCATTATTTTCAAGAAGTATTGCAGAATCACATAGCTTAGGTTCCTCTCTTGCAACACATTTTCTTGCAAATTGTTTTTTAATATTGCCTCTTGACAGAGAAACCAGTCAGCACGCAGTTGCCCAAGCACAGATGCTTGGATCAGAACAGTGCCGGGTGTAACTCTGAGTTCAGCAGGAGGCAGGCAGTGAGAAACCTTTTGCAGCTTTCGAAGTTATGTATGCAGACTTCCTTTCTGAGGCTCTAAGCATCATAAACATACATAGGCATCTAAGCCCGTGAAATTATGGGAGTAAAGTAATTGGATATCCAAATGACAGTGACAGACTTGGGGGCAAGTTACAATATAATTGTGCAGTACTTAAAACAAAAACAACAGCTATCTAAATTCGCTTCTTGTAAGCCTCGTTACATTTTTTTGGGAAGCGCAGCTATGTTTGCAGGAGTAGTTTGGCTTGTCATGTGTCTGTCTGTATTATTTTAAAGTCTTATACTTTATTGGAATGAGTCCCAAGCATGAACCTGGCTTGAAGAGCTAGCAGCAGTAGTCATGAAACATATCAATAAATTAAAAGGTTTCCACAGAACAAGATTCAGCTAACTCTCTTACATACAAAATACAGCTAGAGAAATGCGGTTCTTCGATGCTGAATTATGAGAGGGAGGAAAACAATCTAAAAAAATAGAAAACTCTCTCCATACATAGGGCCAAGGTGGATGCAACACCGCTTAATGCACAAGATGAGCCGGTGCTCCAGAGACAGCGGTACCTGGGGATCTGGTAATTATGACCGAGAGATGAAAATACTGTACAAAAGGCATGCATACAATCACTGTGTGCATTCAGGGTATGAGCTAGGACGAAGCAGAGATCTAACACGACAATGAGGCAGTGTTCCGGGGAATCCGTGAAAATCAGCGTAGGCGCCTATATGTTGATTAAACCTTCCGAAGCAGCAAAGTGTGGGCACAGCGCCATGTCGGGGTTCTGCAGCTGTTTTATGATCCTCTTGCGGAATTTCTCCCTCACACGGTTGAATTCCATTATGTCCATGGGATCCTCTTCAATCCAAAACTTATGAAACTCGTGCATCAAATAGCCTGTTAGAGATAAGACAGTGATACGAATGCAGGAGGGGAAAAAAAAATCCTTAATCACATTCAAAATCACCCTGAATGGCTCAAAGAGATGCCAGACCAAACAACAGCAACGTGGAGCTCCAAGAAGAGATGAGCATTTAAATAAAAGCATTTCACAGCAAATACTACTGCTAAAAATTATTCTTAAAAATCCAGTGCAGTAGGAGCTGTTAATCTGCAAGATTTTTGCAATTACTTCTGGAATGATCCTCACTCCTCTCAAGCAGAAATAAAAATTAATCCTGCCTTCTCTTCAATCTGAATCACATCTGGAACCTTCTGAAAGGCCGACAGTGACGGCTTCATCCTTCCCCTCCTGCTTAAATTAACATAATGGTCTAATTTTTCAAAATCACTCCACTCAAGCCATTTTTTTTCTCTTGATATCTGATTTGAATAAAGTTTTAAATTACCCTGACAAATCAAACAAATGCACCCTGACAATCTATTATGAGACAATAAAAATTGTAAATCAACTCTACACAACACAGACTGGCCATTAAATTACATGAAATTGTTAATAAAACTTCCTTGCTCTGAAGCATAATTTCATATTCAAATACTTTTATGTCTCACAAACATTATCTATGAATGACCTGGATTGGGAACATTTTTGGAACAAATGTTAGGTATTTAATATGAGAATCTATTCATTGTGTTCTGTTTCCCCACTGTGCCCTCGCCCTCCACCATATTCAGAATGGATATATGGACAGCTTTCTAAAAAGATAACAGTAGATATTTGCATGTAGTTAACCTATTGCAAGCACAAGTGTCTCTATATATTAGAAAAAAAAATCAGTTGAGAAAATAATCCTAGTTAAAAATCCCAGTAGCCAATCATTACACAAGCTTTTCTTCGTGTTTTCATTAGAAGGCAGTAGAAACTAGGAGCAAGGATTCTGGAGCAGAAACCTAGTTTGAATCCCAGCTTCTTCACCTCCGTGGGAAAGGAGTGAGAATCAGAGATGACAGGGAGCGTGGGAAGAGAATTTTGGAACAAACATACTCAATTCTAGTTGTAAAAAAACACAATACCTTTTGTTTTTCTGGAAACTAGCTACTTAAGAGGAAACTCTTAACATAGCTTCATAAACAGAATTTTAAAAATTCTTATCTCACTATAAGACAAAATTAGAAGTAACCTTTGCTCTCACTCACCCCACAACACACACTGCCAGATGTTGGTCCACGTCCACAAACTCACCTGATTATATTCATTCACTAGAGGCCCGATGCATGAAAATTTGTGCACTTGGGGGTGTCCCTCAGCCCGGCCTGCGCCCTCTTGCAGTCCAGAACCCCTCAGAGGATGTCCACCTGCCAGCTTAGGCCTGCTCCCTGGAGGATTGGGCCTAAACTGGCAGTCAGATATCCCTCTGGTAGCCTAGGAGCCCCCCAGGGATGTCCAACTGTGGCTTAGGTCCACTTCCCACAGGGAGCAGGCCTAAGCCGCAGTCAGACATCCTTAGCACTGCCGAGGAGGCGGGAGAGGCTCCTGCCACCTCCGCTGCGCTCGCAGCCGTCAGCCCAACTTGTGGCTGAGCTGAGCCAAGCTCCCCCTGTGGGAGCGCACTGACCACCTGGGGGCAGCTCCTGCATTGAGCATCTGCCCCCTTGTGGTCAGTGTGCACCATAGTGACTGGTCATTCCCAGTTATTCCACCATTAGGGTCAATTTGCATATTACCCTTTTATTATATAGGATTACATTACTAGGTGTGCTTGCATGTCTTTAAGTAGATGGTCTCTCTACAACTATAGGAGGAAGGGTACTAAGGAGAAAGAGAATTTATATTGCTTTTTTTGGGGGGGGATTGACTGCTCCATTTCTTTTGGAATTGGACTGTCTTTGGGCCATTCTCACACATTAACATGTTATGTTAATTTGTGTCAACACGAGTTAACATGAACATCTCTGATGGGGACACACACCAACCCTCATCCAAATAAGAAGCCCTAGATCAGAGGTATCAGTGATGCAGGAGCCATCCCAACCATCTCTGCTCCTTGACGCTTGGATTCCCAGAGGCATCATCCGGTCTTGAACTCTTCTGGTGGCAACACTGACATTAGCCTGTTCCATGAATGAAGAATCTGATTCGTTTCTCTCTCTCTCCACTCCCCTCCCCAATGAATAGAAGGAATTTATTTTCAGAAAAAAAGTTCAAATGAGAGTGGAGTGATTTGAAAGCTACCAGTTCCATCTAGGTATATTAGCTCTCTCTGTGGGTCCCAAACAGAGACCTCAAGGATAGAACCATTTTTCCTTATTTATTTATTTATTTATTTGTTTATTACTAGTAGCCCGGTGCGCGAAATTCGTGCACTGGGGTGGGGGGGGGAGAAGGGGCCCCTCAGTCTGGCCTTCACCCTCTCCAATCTGAGACCCCTCAGGGAATGTCCAACTATCTGTTTGTGCCCACACTTTTAACAGATAACAGCTCCATTGTTGTTCCTTTCTTATGCTTAAAACCATTGGAATTAGTAGGTATTCAAAGTGTGTATACATTTTGGGGGGACACCCTGTATATCTCTAGTCAGTGGTGAAAAAAACCAACAGCAGATTTGGAACCCCCAGACAGGGAACCTTGCTCATTCCCCACATGTCTCCCCACTTCACTTTCCACCTTCGTGGGCAGCAGGAGAATCAATGTTTTCTCTCATTAATTCGGAAAAGCAC